CTATCATCATCATCATCATCATAGTATCCATGTTCATCATGATCTTGTGACTCATCATTTCCTAGAGAGGGTAATTCATTAGATAAATGATCATCAAAGTGGTCATTTTTATGAATTCTTATAGCTTTGAGTATGATATCATTAATGATTCCAACATCTCCTTTAGCATGCTTAAGATTGGTAAGTTCAAATAGACAATTACCAAAACTAGGATCACTAGAGTTCATCTTACTCAAGGCAATAGATTTATGGAGAATTTCATCCAAAGTTTTCAAGGAATGATCGGGAAATCGTTCCTCAAGAAATTTCCATATAGTATAGGCACAATTTAGAGTAGGCAAACTAGCAATCAAATTTTTGGGCAATCCTCTAATGATGAGCTCAATAGTTCTAAGATTGCGAATCATGACAATATCTTCATCTAGGGTAGGATGCAAAGGATCAATATGAGGTGCACAAGGGCTAGCAATATACTTGTTCAAATGATATTGATTGAAGATTACAAGCATCTCATTTTTCCACTCATGAAAATACTCTCCATCAAGAATAGGCACTCTATGTCTAAGACTCCCTAAGGTAGACACATCCATCTTCCTCCAATGGTGATTAAACCAAGGCAATGGAGACCAATGCTCTGATACCACTTTTAGGATCTAGAAGTAGATGTGTCTAGAAGGGGGGGGGGATTAGACACTTAATGCTAAAGTTGCAATTTTTAAGCTTTTTCGGTTTAAGTGGAGTTTAGGCACAATTTCAACATACACAATACATATCAAGCAAGCATGCAAAGAGTATATGAGCAGCGGAATGTAAAGCATGCAACTTGCAAGAATGTAAAGGGAAGGGTTTGGAGAATTCAAACGCAATTGGAGACACGGATGTTTTTCCCGTGGTTCGGATAGGTGGTGCTATCCTACATCCACGTTGATGGAGACTTCAACCCACAAAGGGTAACGGTTGCGCGAGTCCACAAAGGGATCCACCCACAAAGGATGACGGTTGCGCGAGTCCACAAAGGGCTCCACCCACAAAGGGTCCACGAAGAAGCAACCACCCACAAAGGGTCCACGAAGAAGCAACCTTGTCCATCCCACCATGGCCATCGCCCACACAGGACTTTCCTCACTAGCGGTAGATCTTCACGAAGTAGGCGATCTCCTTGCCCTTACAAACTCCTTGGTTCAACTCCACAATCTTGTCGGAGGCTCCCAAGTGACACCTAGCCAATCTAGGAGACACCACTCTCCAAGAAGTAACAAATGGTGTGTAGGTAATGAACTCCTTGCTCTTGTGCTTCAAATGATAGTCTCCCCAACACTCAACTCTCTCTCATAGGATTTGGATTTTGTGGAAAGAGGATTTGAGTGGAAAGCAACTTGGGAAGGCTAGAGATCAAGATTCGTATGGTAGGAATGGAATATCTTGGTCTCAACACATGAGTAGGTGGTTCTCTCTCAGAACATATGAGTTGGTATTGTGTATGTGTTATGATGGCTCTCTCCCCGAATGAAGAGGAGGTGGAGGGGTATATATAGCCTCCACACAAAATCCAACCGTTACACATAGTTTTCCAATCTCGGTGGGACCGAATCAACAAACTCGGTCAGACCGAAAAGGTAAACCTAGTGACCGTTAGAGATTTCGGTGGGACCGACTGGATCAACTCGGTGGGACTGATGTGCTAGGGTTAGGGTAAATCCAAAACTCGGTTTGACCGATTACTCAAACTCGGTGGGACCGATTTGGGTAATAAGTGAAACTGAGATTTGGCCAAGCAAACTCGGTGGGACCGATTGCATATCTTGGTGGGACCGAGAATATTGCAATGGGTAACAGAGAGTTTGCAAGCCCATCTCGGTGAGACGAGATCCCATCGGTGAGACCGAACTGATTAGGGTATGGCAGTGGCTTATGACAAGTGAAACTCGGTGGCGTCGGATAGGAAGAATCGGTAGGACCGAGTTTGGCTTAGGGTTTAGGTCATATGTGGAAGTGGGAAAGTAGCTGAGGATTTTGGAGCATATCATTAAGCACATGAAGCAAGAGGCTCATTAAGCAACACCTCATCCCTCCTTGATAGTATTGGCTTTTCCTATGGACTCAATGTGATCTTGGATCACTAAAATGTAAAATGAAGAGTCTTGAGCTTTAAGCTTTAGCCAATCCTTTGTCCTTAGCATCTTGAAGGAGTTCCCACAACCTTTAGTCCATGCCACTCCATTGTTGAACTTATCTGAAACATGCTAGATAGAAATGTTAGTCCAACAAGAGATATGTTGTCATCAATTATCAAAACCACCTAGGGAGCACTTGTGCTTTCAATTTGTCTATTTTCTGAATTTCCCGTGCAATAAAAAATGACCCAAAAATAAAATTTCTCAGAATGCCCTGAAAATTTTATATGATTTTTTCTTGAATATTTAAGAGTTTTTGGTGCAAAAATAACCAGAGGGGGGGGGGGTGCACCAGGTGGGCACAACCCACCTGGGCGCGCAGCACCCCCTGCCGCGCCCTGGGGGTTGTGGTCCCCACATGGGCCCCTCACTTATCTCTTCGTCCCACATTGTCACCTACCTCCAGAAAAAAATCACTCTTGCTCTCTCTCCCGAGTTCTTGCTCATTTTGCTGCCATTTTCGATCTCTTTGCTCGAAGCTCCGTTTTCAAAACTGTTTTGGGAGATTGTTGCTTGAAAATTGTACACGGACATGATGAACCTATTTGGAAGGAGTTCTTTGAGTAGACGATCCTCGGGGGCATCCTCTAGTGACAGTTCTGCCCGCCAGTCTTACGTTGAACCAAGTTAAAGTTCCACGCGAGATGCAGCCACCAAAACATGCTTATGGCCTTGCGATGAGTATATGATGCAGGTGGGCATCAAGGCGGAATTTGATCAATATGTTCACAATGCCGGTCTCGATCCTTACCTCTCAGATAAGTGTGAGCAATGCCATCTTCTCACTGAATCATTTGTCAAAGGATTTAAATATTTTCCACATGAGTCTAGGGTGTCATTTATGCTTTATGATGAACCATTTACTATTCCACTAGAATATTTTGCTTACCATTGCAAACTTCCATTTTGGGGTTCGCTTGATGAGCCAGCAAAGGCTGAGTATGAGACCTTGATCAACACATTTCACATACATGTTTTGGCAATCAAATATGTGGTTTATCGAGTTTTATTCGTTCATTTCTTGCTATGAATTGTTGAATTTGTGAATGATAATCATATAAAGAATCATTTACTAGTCATTTGTTTCTTTTGCAGAAAAGTGCGCAAAGGCACTATAAACTTCAAGGTCCGGACTAGTGGTTAAGAGAACCAGTCAAGTGAAAAGAAAGAAGAAAGACAGAGGGACTTGTGTGTGAAGAAATGATGCTCCAGGGGACAAGTTAAAGAAGAAAGGGACCTTCTTGTGAAGAAATAAGAAAAGGAGAAGGGTCAAAATTGCAAAGTGGCAGATCAGAGGAGGGGTCAAAATCCCTAGCGGCTGTCGATCCCCATCGGGTCTGGCATCTCCATCTCTCTCCCTCACCACTTCTTCTTCCATCTCCGGCCGCCGCCGCGGCCAGGCCGGCGTGGCAGCGCGCCACCCAGCACCTCCATACGCTCCACACCGCCGCCATCACCACCACTCCCCGCTTCACCGCGCCACCATCACCACCGCACCACTGAGCACCTCCGCGCGAGAGTTTCCTTGCTGCTGCTCCTTCTTCCCTCGCCTTGCTGCTGCTTCTACTGCTTCTTCTCCAAGCCCCGCTGCTGCTCCCTTCTTGTTGCGCCCCTGCTCCTCCTTCTCCTCTCTCCATCCCCACATTGCTGCTGCTTCTTCTTGCGACTTCCTGCTCCCTTCGCCTACCTTTCTGCTCCCTCTCTCTTCTCCGAACCTTTTGCTGCTCCTCCTCCCCCCACGAACCTGATGCTCCTTCCTCAATCTCCTGCTGCTTCTCTTCTTCTTCTATCTTGCCGCTGCTTATCTCTCTTTCTGAATTTTCTGTAATAGGAGATGTGTAGTACTTGTAAGGTTCAGATTTTGATAAGTGTTTGCAACCAACTAGTTTGCTTAGTTCGTACTTGTTAAATATCATGTCATAAATTCTATGTTCTGAATAGTGGATTTCTTGTTGCTTTGGGAACTAACTAATATGCAATATTTTGTTACTTTGGTAATATGTGTTCTGTCAGCATATATGTGTGTTCACCCTGTGTATTTCTTCTCGCTGTACTAGTTAATTTCTACCAGCAATTTTTAGTTGTTAAATACTATTGTGTTGTTCTGTGGGCACTAATCTTGTGGCTTGTAAGATTTCGTTTTTGTTGTCTCTTGTTAACCTGAACCGTGGTGTAGTATCCTGTTCGCATATGTATGGTTTTGTGTGTTCTGTAGTCCCTGTATTAGCTATATACCTGTGATATATAAATGTGTGTGTGTGTGTGTGTTTGATTTGATACAATTATATTTTTTTCATATATTCTCGCTTCTTCCCTTTGTTTATGTTTGATAGTAATGTGTCCTTGTCATGTTACGTTCATGTCCTTCCACTTCTCTTGTCATTCATGTATACTCGTATTAGTATTTTAACTTATCAAGCATTACGAAAATACCAAAAAGACAATGAGTAAAATCTGAATCTCCCTTTTGCTTATTTTCATTTTCTTTGTCGTCGACTTTGGTTAGTTTAGGTCTATATTTCCTCGCAATCATCATCTGAACTCTATCACCTAGCTTTAGCCGAGCATCGTTGCCGTTGCCTAGTCCCTGTGGAGAACACGACACTCACAGAATGGGGCGTTAAAACCCCACTGTACCTACAATTGATCATTTTGGCGCCGTTGCCGGGGACTAGCGTCATGCGATTGTGTTAGGCTATAGACTAGGTTTTTCTTCTTTCTCTAGTTTGTGCCATATATTTGTGATATGTCTCTAATCACTAACCCCTGTTCTAGCTAGTATCCTTTTGTTTTCTTTTCCTTTTGCAGGTTAGAGCTATCTCGGTTATGGCATATTATTCAGATTGTCTCGGAGATGAGAGGAACACTACAAACAGCATGGAAAGTATTCAAGAACCGATAAGTAATATTTCCCATCGATTAGATGATTTAGCTCGGCAGCAAGAAGTAGTTTTTGAGGATAGGCATAGCTCTTATGATCCTTATTCTAGAGGTCATCCTTATGTTGCTCCTACATGCCATATTTGTGGATTTCAGAGCCATTCACCCGCCGAATGTCAGCGTGGTTACTCTCACGCTCCCGATTGTTATGGCATGAGCTTCGCCCCACAGCCAAGCTCATACCAAAACAATTACTCACATGGGTGGCCTGAAAACCAGAATATGTCATATAGGAGCAACAACCCTGAGATCTCATCGTTTGCCTCTAGTTATCCAATGCAGGGATTTAGGTACAACGAGGAGAGCCACAACTATGCATCACAACAATTTTATTCACCTCCTACTCATATACCTCAGCACCAGGAGATGTTGCCAATGGAGTTAAATGGTCCTCCATTTGGTCAACCAACAATTCCAGCACCTGTCGTGCAATCTCATGTGCAAGTGCCCACACAAGATGAGTTCGATGACATAGACAAGCTCACACTTTTGAGTCTCGAGTTCACTTGGAGTGCCGAGGATGATCCAATTAGGCCAGTGATACTAGAGGAAATGAAGAAGATCAAGAGTGGAAAAGAGCTGGTGGAAGAAGTCAGGAAAATTGAGAAGAACATCAATGCTGGAAGTACTATCTCCTCCCTCCTTGAGCTGAGTGTTGCCGAGATTCCCCTTGATACATGTGAGGTTCCAACACCGTCACACCCAGCTGAGCAAGATAGCGAGAGTCCAGAGGAAGAGAGACCTCAGATTGAAGATGAATTAGAAGACAAGGAACAAGATGATCAAGAGCTGCAATTCCCAAGTGATCAAGATGAAGATCTGCTACCTATCACTCATGAAGAAGTAAAAGAAGCTGATGTAGTTGAAGATGAAGAACCTAAGATTCATTTTCCTATTGTCATACAAGAGCGTGATATAGCAGGTTTATATAATCCTCTCGATGACATGCGTCCATATGAATTGTTTGCTACTACCTTGCATTGCATGATGTTATCTATTAAAGTAAATTTGAAGAAGTGTTTGCTTGGATATGATGATACATATACTGTTGGTGGCATTGCTCATATTAATGATGATCACACTTATTTTCCTCATGCCAAACCTATGCTTAATGATAAATATCATCCTCATGTTAGTATTGAGCTTGCTGATTCCTATCATACTCGCCATGTTCTTTATAGCTATGCTTATGTAATTGGGTACTCTATTGATGATTTAGAGGGCATTACCCCTTTCACTTGTATGGTCTCTTTTGTCGAGTGCTCTTTCAGGTTTTTGCTACTGCACCGTTCACTACATGCTGACCAGGTTCGAGGTGACATTCCTTGGGACCCCGGTGGATTTAGAGCATGGTGAAGAGGAGAAGCAATGGGCACATACAAGGAAGAGAAAAGCTGGAGCATGCACGAGGATAGAGAGCATGAGGATAGAGAAGTAAAAGGTGAGGGGTCACGATGCAAGAGAATGTGAGATGATCGAGCGAGTTCTACTTCATAAAGCCCGGTGAGCTGTTTCATGACCCCAATCTGAATATATCATCTATTGATACAAGCTGAAATCAATTGCTAGTTGGGTTGCTTGAGCCATTTCTTAAATATCGTCCCACTGAATTTTACCTTCGACATAGGGTGATTGATGTGAATATGTGAACTAAGTGTTGAATGCCTTGTAAACTAGTGATCTACACAATGCTTGCTTTGTTGAAAGTAGTGGAAGCACTACTAGAAAAAGGGTTGCTAGTGGCGCACCTGTTTTCGCTACTAATGGCGCACTACAGGTGCGCCATTAGCACCACGCCATTAGATTTTTACCAGCGGTGCGCCATTAGTATACTAGATACTAATGGCGCACACCATTAGTAACAATTTATTTTCAATATTTTTTTCAGAATTTTTTTTAATTTTTTTTAAAATGTTTCAATTTTTTTTCAATTTTTTCTTAATCTCAGGTCACTATAGCTTAATCTCGGGTCAATATGCTTAATCTCAGGTCAAATCGCACTCCGTGGTCAAACTTCCCGAAAGGTCACCCATCCTCACACTACTCCAGCTCAAGCATGCTTAACTTCAGAGTTCTATCAAACCCCAGCAACAACTCACTTCACAGGCACTTGTTGATATATCTAGTATATCAATCCTATTATACCTTGTTGATGTCTAGGACTTTGTTCATGTTCATGACTATGATGAAATTTTGGAAAATATTTCAAACTTCCTGGTCATATTACGTATCATTTTTAGAAAAAAAATTCAAAAAAAAATTCAAAACCAATTTTTTTCTGTTACTAGTGGCGCACCACATCCACGGTGCGCCACTAGTAAGTTTGAAATTTTTTAATTTTTTTGCCTCTAGATCTTGAAAGCCCCGTAACTTTTTTTCTGTTAGGGGTTTTTGGGGATTTTGAAAATGTTTTTAAATTCGGATGTAACTTTTCGAGTAGATGATTTTTCATATAAAAAACTTTTTAATCCGAGTTCGTATGCAAAAGTTATGCCCATTTTACAAATTTCCAGAGAGATTTTGCAAATAAAGTTGAAATTCATATTTGTAAATTTTCCCAACAACTAGACCACATATCACATGGGAAACTTATTTTCTTTTATTTATTTGACATTTTTATCATTTTCTTTTATTTTTTTTAAAACT